CAGTGTGTGTTCAATCACTACAGGCTCCCTGAACCTCATGGTTTTCTAGTGAGGGCATACTGCTGGTGGGTTTTTCAGAATGCTGAGATTCTGGTCATACCGGACTTCAGCACATCCACAGTCAGTCCGCAGCAAGAGATGTGCAAAAACTCAGAGCTAGACAATAATAGAAAGGATTGTGTAATATGCTGTGCCCAGCCAAATCTACTTTGTAATGAAAGTGGCAGGGATTTTTTTCTTCAGGCTGTTGGATGCAAGTAGGAACCTATAGTTCTTTATAGGCAAGAATTTGTAAGAAACTCTAAATATAATCATGTTCCTGTTGAAAATCTGTTTTAAATAAAATAAAAGTTTTCCATGCAGAAGGGTTGGTTTTTTTCAGTAGGAGTATTCTAAGCAAAACTTTCTGTTCTGAACAGAGAAAGGAAATCTCTCATTTTGTTGTATTGGGAATATGCTTGAGGAAAACAGTCTTCAAATTCATGGTATTTCAGCCTAGCTACATATAGCCTGTGCTACTGAGGGGTTCCACACCATGTCTTCTCAAGTCCTGCATTAGATTAGGTAGTTGGAAGAGGACTGTTGCCTAGATGATTGCCTATTAACTCAGCACCTTTGAACCCAGTTGTTCCTGGTCATGAAGGGGAACATTTGCTTCTATCCGTCTGGTTCATCCAGCTTCAGCTCTAGTGCAAGTCTGGTGTTTATGGCCAAATAATTGAGGCAATATTGCCAAAATGTTAGGAAAAAAGGAATATACCACAGTGAATATCAGTACTTTTTCTGTGTAAAGTCTGCCCCTCATCTCATAAAATTTACAAGTTACTGTGAAATACAAGATTTTCTAATGGTCGAGTCTTGCTTTGTAGGTGTAATGATTTGGTTCCTTGGCTTGCTCTTTATCATAATGTCTTTCTGGATACAGTTTTTCCAAGTTGTGATTCGTGCTATCATTTTCTCAGGGTGATGTACTGGAGGAGAATTTCTGAGCAATTGCCCATAAAGCTATGCCATTTGTATTCAAAGGTGAAAAAACATGAACAAACTACTCTCTCTACATGTGCCTACAGCTCTCTAGGATATACAAATAGAGCAGCTGTGTGTAATTATTGGAGCATCTCATCAGGTAAATGGCAGGGATTTGAGTTCAACAGATCCAGGTTCTTTTGAACCATGTAGTGAAGTTAATCTGTCATTATGGGCATCTCAAAGAAATCCTTTTTTCTTGAACTATTGTCTAAGAGACCAGAATGCCTTTCTGCAGTATAATACTTTCTCTTAGATATTAAGGATTTGTATAAAGCTGTATTGTTCAATTAAACATGTACTTTTTACATGGCAATTGAGTAGCAGCAAGGGTAGACTAAGGAGCTTAAATCCCAAAGAATGCTTAGACTGCATTTACAGCAAGCGTTTTAAGGTTCTTGTGGCCATGAAAATAAAACCTACCGACATAATGTGTTAGTGTTTTAGCTCAGATTTGAAGTTGGTCTTCATATCAGAACCTTCCGCTTACAGGTCTGCTAGTTAATTCATTTGGGAAGAGGTGTCCTTCCCAGTTCATGTTTCCTATATTGTATTAAAAATTCAATCCAAAATCAGCTGTTTATCCTTCTTCTGTAAGCAGTTTGCATTTCTAAATCTACACAAGTAGGATGAAAATGCTCACAGCCCCATTGCCATTTCATACTAGAGTATGTTCAGTCCAGCCATATCCAGTAAGAGAGCTCCAATATGCTGGAATTCAGTGCATTGGCCAGGCCTGGTCTGTCCCCGTTCACACTGTTTCAGTGGGCCTATATATTTAATGTGTTGCTCAGAGCAAGCTGTATGGAAGAACTGTCCCCTGTTTAAAACATGCTCTTTGGAGTCCAGCAAGGCTGCTCCAGATTCTCTTTGGATAAGCATGGAGACTCAGAGGGAGTTGTTTTGTGATATTTGAAAGTGAGGAGCCATTACATTTAGCTCTCATCCTTAGAGCATTTTGCAGGGTGTGGCAATAGTTCATAGCAATTCTTTTAATTAGAAAAATACATGTTCAGTTCTGATGAGAATTTGTTATGATTTGGAATTTACCATATTTGGGAAAACGTCATGCATTATTGTTTCACTCTTTATGTCTAAATTTTTCCTAAAGTGATGAAATGAGCTTTATTTTAAATACCCGGTCTTTCTTTTTCCTTTTAATGGGAGGTTTGTGCTGATTTGGGGAAAATGTTTATTTCTTCCCAATATTTTCTTCAGCCTAGAATTTATTTATTCACCCAGTTTTTGTCAGAGGTCCTAGTTAGATTTCTGTGTCTGGCTTTTAAATCCTTGGAAATTGGAATTTCTTATATCAACATTGTCACTGCTGTAGTTAGAGGTCGTGCTTTTCTGTTTTCAAACCAATTCAAACTGAATTTTAATTGTCTGATCTATTCTTAAACTGTTTATGGAAAAAAAAGGGGGGTGTCAAAACTGTTTGAAGAGTAACCCTGAAATAATCTCCACAGTACTTACAAGAATAGAAATAGTTATCTCTCTTACTTTTTTTTCCCTAAAATGTGTAATGTTAATAAATTCGCTTGTTGCAAAGAGCAAACAATGCACCTTTATGAACAGTGGGATTGTGAAAACATCAACAGTCCTCTGGTTGTAAAAGCATGGTCACTCCAAAAGAACAGAATGAAATTAAATGTGATGCATTTAAATCATACATTTCTGTCCTGGGTGAGAAAATGGGAGTACAGGGAGTCCATAGAATCATCCGATCTTCTACTCAGTGTCACATAAGAGGATGTACACTGAGAACAGTGCCTTTAGCTGTCCCAGCTCAGGAGAATCCTGCTCTCACTTGTACATCTTTGGCTCTCATTTTAAACACCCAAAACATGGTGAATCCAGATTCCAGACAGTTTTCCAGCTGTGTGGAAAGGCTCTTCCTGTTCTTATTTGGCTTTGTTGTGTGTACAGTATCAGTGTCTCGAAGCCTTAGCTTTGATTTGTGGACACTAAATAAAAATAGCTTCTCTTTTTCTGTTCTGTTTGCTGATTTCTTTGCTAGTTTCTGTTCCTATGTTTTAATGGAGGAGAGGCACTCACTGTTGCTTTGTTTGTGGGGTATTTCTATATAAATGAATGGGAAACTATGGATGTTTGTCAAGCTTGAAAGTAGCAGAATCCATTCCCTTAGTGGCCTCTTTTTCAAAAAGACCAGATCCTTTATTATTTACTGTATGCCTTTTGCTACAACTGTAAAATAAGAAGCTCTACTTTGCCTAGTTAGGAAAAGTGCAATGGGATCTGTGCTAGCAGCAAGTATTTTATGTGAAGTTTTCTTTCTCGCTTTGACCGAATACTGAGTATTTTGAGTATCTAGTTGGATTTGATTATAGGTATGGGTTGTAGGTGCTGATATGCGTGACATTCTTTGGGACACCTTACTGAATCTGACTATCAGCTATGCTGCTGTCTCATTTTTAAGTTTCCTGAAGGCAGCAGTCTTCTTTCTTTGTTCAGTAATTGTACCTTGCTGTAGAAGGTGGGGTCATTGTCCAGAGCTGGTTTTCCTAGGCATTATGGTAATGTAAGTAACAGTATGTAATACAATAATAAGACCTTTAGTTTAATTCCCCTTAATTAGGTCCCTAGGTAGTTAACTTGCATGAAAGGGAGTGTTTACTTTAACTCAAAAAATATTTTTTGTAGAGAGGAATTTTGTTTGGATTTTACTTATGCAAACTACAAGAATAAGTCAAATGCTTAAGTAAAATGCATTTTGCTTTGAAGATACCTGTTCAAATTGTAACATCCTAATAAAAAGAATGTCTGTGAAAGCACACCTTGGCTAAAAATGAGTCACAAATAAGCTGTCTTGTAATACATCAAAGAAAATCCATCTCTGAAGGGGGTTTATCTTTGAGAACAGTTAGGATGTTCTGTTTCCCTGAGATGCATCCGAGTTGTCTTGCACTTTATAGTATGGTAGTATTCTCAAGACTACAGGCAACTGAAATTTTCAGTAGTATTTAGCATTTTTAATACCTTTTAGATATTGACTTTTCAAGCACAATTAAATACTGATCTTCTGAGATGGTTCTTAGTGTTCAGACAGAAAACAGTGTAATACTAAATCTTCAGGAACGTTATTTGTATTTTGGGGGCAGTAAGAGGTTGGGGATGTGGATCTTTTTAGGAGAAAAACATTCTATTTGCTATGATAGACATTTCTGCAAGTTCTCTTGTATTTTGTTTATATTCTGCTCCTGTAGTCTGCCCTTGTGATTCTGTGTTGTCACAGTGAAGTTTAGCATGAGCTTATCAGGAACGAGACTTGAATCAAGAACTTAATGTTGCACTCAGCTGCATCATAGCTACTGCTGTTTCAGCATGTCACTGAATTGTCATCGGCTTCTGCTGAAATACAGACCTAATGGTAGTGGTACTTGAACACATGCTATGCAGATGCTCTGGTAGTTGGATGCAATTTTGCTTGTGCATATTCACCTGATAAAGGCATTTTGCACCTGCAGGTATTGAAGCAGTGCCATTTAACCTAATTATTAGTGCATATGTAATCTCTACATTGTAATTCAGCTTGAATGTAAGTAATAGAAAGTTTTTCTAAGGACATGCTTTGCAAGTGCAAAACATTGCTATTTAGGTACAGCCTGGAAAAGCAGGAATCTTTCTCTAAGCTGCTTGCTAAAGAGCTGTTATGTTCATGCTATGCTGTCTTGTAGGCATAAGCATGGCCTGTTATTTGACTGATTCATGCAGTGAAGTGGCCAGACCAGGAGTTGTTTCAGCAGAGAAGAATCTAAAACATAAGGTCCTTTTAAGGTATCTCAAGACATGCACTCCAAGCTGTAACCAATTTTTTTTAGTGTTAGCGTTATGCTTGGAATTTCTGAACAGTGAATGAAGAGATCATTTTGCACAAACTTCTTTCTAGTCACAAGTTTAAAACCAAATGTGTTCATTTGCCTGATCCTGTGCCTGTATTGTCTTTTTTCTAGGTCCCTGTGTACAGTAGTGTGCAAGTGGACGTACACTTCAGATGGAGGTTGGGATGACAGTTTCTGGAAAATGATTGGTTTGGAAGATTTGGTGAAGGATAAGTATGAAAAAATAGGTATATCAGGGGTTGTTTTGTTTTATACATGTACGTATATATATACACATACACACATACATAAAAAAGTTATGTACACATATATATAAAAGACATATACATATATAAAAAATATAAATATAAGAAGATATTTTGCTGTATTATTGTGAATGTCAGCAGAAATATAGCAGGACTTGATGAAGCTTCAGATGCTTTGATAATTAAGCTGGATACCCATGGGTAACAGCTTTCCTAAGTACGCATTTACATGACATCGTCATCAAAAACTGTGTTTAAATTTTATATCTGCTACCCTTCTGAAAGGCCTAGCTAGCCTTTCAGTCCTGCTCAGCCTCAACAACAGAGAAGTAAAGGGGAGCCTCAGCAACTGATTACATGAAAGGAAGCACCTGATATGGGTATATTGGATGGCAGGCTATGAAAAAAAGCCACAATATAATAATTCATAGCTGTTACTGATAGCGTATTTTGCGACCTGTATCAATCTTCCTTATAGTAATTTTCAAAAAAAAGTGCTACTTCTGCTTGTTATTATCTTCATACTGTTTTTTTCACGCTCTAAGAGCCTAAGTTTAATTAGAGTGGTAGCCTTGCTAATAGCAATTCCTACAGCAGATATTCATTAAAAGTCCATAATGTTAATATACCAGAAAATTTCTAGGATAACTTTATTAGACTTTCCCTGTTAAGTTAATGGACTTTTAATGGATGTCCTAAGCAGACATGTCATTAACAAGAATATTACCAGACATGAATTAAAATATGCTCATTCATCAAAGTTAATTATCTGAAATTTCCTTTGATTTTTTTTTTTTTTAATGTCTAGCACTTTGAACAAGTTTGTACAGCAGTTTAAATGCAGCAACATGAAATGGAAATAGTGTAGTGAGGACTGTAGTGAAATGAAATGTAATGACATCTATAAACTTTTCTGATCATCACAAAATATAGTATAAGTAATTTTCAGGTTATCAGAAAATTGTACTTGAAAGCTTCCTTGAATAGATTTTGGCTTTTCCCCCTGCAACTGAAACTGCTTATGCAAAGGTATAAAACCTACTAGGAGTATTAGGCTTTTAGCTTCCTGAGGTTTTAGTTTGAATATAATTCTTACAACATCTATCACATGTGGCTTTTAGCAGATCTTCAACAAGTTAAAATAAGACTTACAATAAATACATGTTTTTACCAGAAAATTGAACATCTTGGCAGCTGGTGGTCTCATGGAAGAGTATTTTAAAAATAAATTATTCATGAAGTGTAAGCTAAGGCTTTAATACAATATTTATGCAATGCACTTCAAGGACAGTGCAAAGCAATTTGCCATTTTAAGTAACTAAACATACATGTTTTAAATTATAAAGTAGCCATTAATAAAAAGGGCCTTTTGTTGTGATGGAAGCCTCATGAAACTAATCTATAAATGGCTCAACATTTAGCAAGATAAATATCATTAATTTCCAATATCAGGCTTATGTTTTTGTTAAAACACAATGTTTACAAAATAAATCAGTAAATTAACTTCTATTGATAGACGTTTCTTGCAAGACAAAATGTTTTCCTGAGTTAATGAGGAAACTGTCTAGTTCCCTGGGCAATTGCATTGATTTTCAAGAAACGAACTGTAGAATACCTGGGTGCATCGTGGCTGGAATTGGAGAAGCAGAATCTGACCTTCAGAACTGCATCAAACTGTGAGCTAGAACTTGAAGCTTCTGAAGAGCACATACGTTTACTCGCCTTGAGAAATCCTTTGATTTTCAGATTCTTGGGCTGATTACCTTAGGTGTATCCAAAGCATAAGACACTTTTTGTTTTGCATAATAATGCTGAAAACTGGCCTTAGGTAGAATATATGCTTATTTCCATGACCATTTGTCTGACCTTGCCTTTTTTAAAAGGAAGGTGTTACATTCTTTGTATTTAGCTTTGTGATAAAAATCACAAAAAAGCAGGACAGTGACCTTCATTCGTGTGTCTATGAAGAGGGAGTAAGGAGCTGTCTCTATGAATGTGGAAACCAGATAACAACTACTTCGTTTCTTTGAGTTTATCTTCTAAATGGTGCCTGTTGGAGTCTCTTGGAAGGGTTTAGCTTCAGGAGACTTGACCAAAACAAAGCAACTCACTCTCCGCCCAGAAGCTACTCAGCAATGCCAAGGTCTGTGTTGCGTGCTGTGGAAGTGCTTTGCTTTCTGCTGCCCCTAATTTTATCAGTGTCCCTGTACATGGGAAAATGGGAATGGTAACATTGTTCCAGTGAAAATTTTGGGGGGTTTGCTTGTTTTATGTATGTTCAGTGTTGTTGAACTTGTGAAGAGCACTCTCTATAAGCTCAGCTTTCCTTTACTTAATTTAAATTAATTAGGACAGTGTAGATCTACCTGCCAGGAAAGTGCCATTCAGTCACTCAAGCAGCACTGGTCAAACTGCAGCTGGAATGACGTTGTATAGTGGAAGACTCCTTCCTACAAACCCCCCAGGTGTTAGCATTGGTGTGTGCACCGTCACTGCATAGACCTCCTCCCAGGAGCTGCCCACAAACGTTACACTGACCATAGTGAACACAGGATCACATCTTGCACAAACTCAACTCAGGCTATATTTATAATATTGCTTCAGGGTGCTGTCCCATACGTGAACAGTCTCAGCTGCTGTTCAGCGCATTATCAAAAGGAAGGCAATTTGTTTAAGTAACTCATATGGACAAACAGTCAGAGTGTGTGCTTCCAGGAGGCACACCATAGTGTGCTAGGCTGACAGAAAAGAATTCAAAGCAGTAGACTTAGCCAGCTTCCAGATTAAGGAACTTGAAATTGCCACATAACCTAGGTAGGAGTAAGTTGAAGGGAGATTGTACATGGTCAAAAACTCCTAAAATGAAAACAAAACCAAAAACCTAACAAGTCTGAAGTAATTCTAGTGGAATTTCCTTTTCTGTTCTCAAGCTTGTCCAAATCCATGTATGTCTGCTCAAGGTTTGTTTAGCTCAAATACAAGGATGTACTTTAATGCCTGCATGTTTCCCTTGTAAAGAGAGATAATAGTATTTTTCTCACATATTTCTCCTAAAAGATTAGCAAGGTCTGAATCATCATTTCTTTCTAAACAAAGCAAAATGTCACAAGATAAAATTAGCAAAATTTTTTTTACTGTAACAACAGTAAATATGTAGTTTACCAGTTTAAAATAGGCAGAAAAGCTATGTGGTTTTTTTAATCTCTAGTGAAATCATTATTGTTTCCAATCAGAGGGAACTATAGATGAATAGTTATGACTAGACTTTTTTTTTTAAGTAGCTTTAACTTTCATGACACATGAAATATTTATGGAAATTACGTGAGAACAACTTCTTTAATATACATATTTCTTTATTCTAATAAATACACTTTTAAACAGCACTTTCAAAATGTCTTGCCCTTTAAAAATGTATTTACTGTAATCAGAGTGGCGCTTGTGGTTCCAGGTAGTACGCTTCTCTTAGTTTTAGTTTAACTTAACATATGACCTTGTTGATAAGGGAGACCCTCACATCTGACCTTTAGGATCTTCCACAAACCTTTCCCACATCAAGGCGTGGGTTCACATACGAAAATTGCCAGGCCTTTGACATTTTACATTTCTCAGAGCAGATTAACTTTTCAGGGAATCCACATAGTAAGTTGTTTGTGGTCCCTTCTGCACATCATGAATTTACTGATCACGTTTGTGAAGGTAAAGAGTATTATCTGGGGATACTACAAAATTTATTGATCCCATTAATTTGCCCACCAAGAGAGTAGAAGATGGCTTCTATTCAAAACCACTATGAAAGTGTTGTGTACTGCAGGCATTAGCATTTATCTGCTGTGGTGAAAGCACATGATGAGTATCTCTTTGTGGTATTATAAAACCTAGAAAGACATTAATAATTCCGTTAAAATTTCATGTACTATAGACCTCTTAGGGTACTGAAGCGTATATTCCATTTGGAGGAAAATGCCTGCTAAATTTTCACCCCAGCCCTCTACTTCAGGGGCTACTTAAGGGACCAAATAATGATTTTTTATTGAATGGTAATATTTTATGCCAGGTCTTTTTTCAGTTGAAGTTGGTGCCTTTGTCTGAGGGAGCATTGCAGATACTGCAGAATAGGGTTTACTGTTCTTGTAGATTGTGTGTTGAAGGCTAAAATGCTATCCTTTGTAAGGGGTTGTTTGTCACCTTCTTTCACATGTGGTGGAGCAGCACACTGATTTTAATGAAGTATTATTTTTGAAAAGCAAGCTCCATACTTGGAAATACAGCCCTTCAACATGATAAGTATTTCATAAACGCATTTCCCAGCTTTTCCTGACTGGGAATTTACTGCCACATCCTCAAAAGTGAATAGGTACACAGCTCACAGGTATGGGATCTTTATGAAAAGCTGAGGCAAATCTGAGAAGAGTATTTGGATCATTTAAATCTCAAAAGTTCTGTGGAAATTCAGTGCTTGCTTGAACTTCGAGTGCTTGAAATTAATACTTATTTGTAAATTGGTAATAAAGAAAAACAGATATGATCTGGGACTTTGACAATATAGCTGTGACTGTCTTGATTGGTGCCTGCTGACATTCTTACTGTGCATAAGCTTTACAATATGCTGGGTTTTCAAATGTAGGTACAGCTCTGTGTTTCCTTAGGCATTCAAATAGGTGACAAAACAGCAGGCTGTTTATTCATGAAAATGTTATTATATGAATGGTTATAGTCTTGCATCTGCCAGTTTCTACTTCCACATACAAAACTAATGTAAGATAATAGTATTGTATACTTCACTTTTCACACTGCAAATAGAGTCTGCTTAGGTTTTGTATTTTGTCAGTAGTCAGTCTTAATACTTGGAAGTTCTACTCATTTATTTACATTTAGGCTGAAAAAGGAAGATTCAGTCCAGGGTGGGAGAATACAGTCAATATTAACTTATGCTAGAGCACCTGTGAAAGGAATGGTCAATCCATTAGTTCTGCCGGTTTTCT